CTGTCAATCACGGCGGTTCCCGCCACACCTTCCCGGCGGGGAGCGGGGCCGCACGTGCGCGAGGCGCGGCGGGAGCGCGCGCGGTCGGATCCCCGAGTTCCAGAAATTTTGGGATCTTTAGAGATCACCCAGTCCTTCCCCCTACCAAGGCAGGGTCACCCGGAGCAGGTGACACGGGGACAGCTCCAGGTGGGGTTGGGACGTCTCCAGAGGGAGGTTCCAGCTGTTCCAGGGCTGCAGGGAATGAAGTTCTTCCTCAGGGTGAGGTGGAACTCGTTGTGTTTTAATTTATGGCCACTGCTCCTCGTCCTGTCCCCCAACAGAGCCTGGCACCACCCTCTGACACCCCTCGGGGACATTTTATGAATTGATGGGATTCTCTCCCAGCCTTCCCTTCTCCATGTCCAGCTCTCAGTTTTTCCTCGTAAGGATCCCTGAGAGCTCCAGCTTGGACAAATCTGGTGCTTCTCAGAAATAATTAATTCCAGCCGAGCCACAGCTAACCCAGCTCTCGCTGTTTCTCCTGGATCCTCCAGACTTCAAATCCTCTCCATGTCCTCTATGGACCGTCTCCAGCAGCTCCTTGTCCTGTCCTCAGTATCCCAGAACTGGATCCCTTGTGGCCCCAGTCCCAGGTTGGTGCTTCCCGGTGGGAACAGGGACATCCCCTCCCCGGCCTTATCCGTGGGAGTCACCAGCAAGAGGGATCAGGATCCCACAGCCCTCCCACGGGGCTGCACCACCCCACAAACATTCCATGGGATAAGGGGAAAAAAAAAAAAAAAAAAGGAAAAAAAAAAAAAAAAGGCGGTTTTTCCAACTCCATGGTACAGCCCTCTACAGCCCTGGGCAAGATGAATTCCAGCAAAATTCCCCGCAGGAAGTGCAGGTGGAGCGTTCACCTCCAACACCAATCATTTCCCTTCAGCTTTAACCACACGCAGCCTCACTTTCCTCCCTCCAGCAGCACTTTAGGAGCTCTTGGATGGGATGGGAATTTGGGAATGTTGTCGGTAAAGAATGGGAATGGTCCACCATAAAAAGTTGTGGAAACCAGGTGGTATTTTAGCCTCTGAACGCACAAATCCCAGTTTTATCAACAGCACCCCGATGGATTTCAAACTGTAATAACAAACTATAATTCCCTGCTGACGGGATTATCCAGGGGGAAAAAATATTGGGAAGCACAGCCAAGCCTTGTCCAGCCCTGCAGATTAAATCACTTTGAATCTGATAATAAGGAGAGATTACTTTTAAAATAGATCTTCCTGATGATTTGGGGGAATAGAATTGCTTGAAACATGGCCTTAAAAAAAAAAAAATACTCTGTTCTCTTCTTGTAGCATTCCTCAGATAACAAAACAGGGCTTGGAAGCTGTGGAATTCTGACTATTGGAATTATGTGAGGTACTTTGGGTGGTATGAAAAACAAACCCAGCACCCTTCCTGCAGAACAGAGGAATGCCTGGCTGGAATTCTGGAATTCTGAGGGATTGATGTTCTGAGCGGCCAAACACATTCCCTCGGGCCTTGTCAAATCCCAAAGGACCTAAAGCTGCTCTGCTGTGCTTGGGAATGACAGGAAGAGCCACGGGAATGACCCACAGGAGCAGCTGATACTCACAGCTTAATAATTCCTCCTGACAATAAAAACTGGTTAATTTTGGGAAGTTCTACAGTAAAGGGAATGTGGAAAAACCCCACTGAATTAGTTTGGGAAGCCCTAAAAGGTTTATTTCAATCATTGCAGCTCTCGTTGCTCTGAAATCAAAGAGGGTTTGGGTGGGATTTTGGGAAGGAATTTTCTTTTGAGGGTGAGGAAGGGGTGGAATAGAATTCCCAGAGCACCTGTGGATGCCCCTGGATCCCTGGAAGGCCAGGTCGGAGCAACCTGGGACAGTGGGAAGTGTCCCTGCCCATGGAATTGTGTGGGACTGGATGGGATTTAAGGTCCCTCCCAACTCAAACCACAATTCCGTGAACTACACAGTTACTAGGAAAACATTGGAAAAAGGAATGTTCTGAACCCTGTAGCTGTCACCTGTCTCTCTGAGGCACTTCTAGGAATCCACCACTGCACGTGATTCCCATGGGGCAGGAAAATGTGCTTGGACAAACAGGATTTATCTTGATCAAGCAAAATTAACGAGGGACAGACCAGCCAGGCAGGAAAAAAATGTCCGGCTCAAGGTCACCAGCCAAGAGCAGACACTGGAGAACCTATTCCTACCTGGAATGAGCAGTCAAGGATTCTGCTGGATCAGAGAACCATGGAATATGTTGAGCTGGAAGGATCCTCAAGGATCATCCAGTCCAACCCCTGAACAATGGCACCCTGTGCATCCCTGGGAATGTTGTCCAAACATTCCTGGAGCTCTGGCAGCCTTGGGAATGCGCCCATTCCCTGGGGAGCCTGGGCAGTGAACCTTTCCCTAAATCCAACCTAAATCCCCGCAGGCACAGCTCCAGCCATTCCCTGGGATCCTGTGCCTGGTTATGCCAGAGCCAGGTGTGATGTTGTCACCACCATGACCAGGTGAGCTGACACTGTCACAGAGCATGAGGACAAACAGACGCAGAAGGAACATCCCAGTCCAAAACCAGAACCTCATTTAAGGAAAAAACTAAGGAAAGGCCTGGGATGCTGGCAAGGAAGTTTGATGGTTTGGTTTGTGGGCCTGGAGGAACAGGTAATGAACTCATGGGCTTTGAATCGTCCATGCTCAAACAGCAATGGAGACAGGGAAGATTTATTTCCAAATCCATGGAAAATATTCCACTCATGAAGAGAAATGGCTCAGAAGTGCTCTGAAGAGCCACGTTCCAGAAGCAGTCACGGCTATTGTTCGTCCTTCAGTGACAATCTGGAATCTGCCAGAGCTGCAGGGTCTAGGGGTGGCCCTGGTACACAGCTCAGCCACCCCAAAGCTGCCCTGACAACCCTCAAACACTGGCAAACGAGGAACCCACCTGAATGAAATCCCACCCCAAAGAATTCCCGGTTACCAGGCTATGCCCACACTGCTGGGCAGTGCCCTGGGATTTACCAGTGACCTGGGGGCATATATTTTATTCCTTCACCTCAGGGAAAAAGCAGGATTTACAGAGACCAAAGATGTTTTCACAGCTCTTGCTGCTTTTTGAGCACGGATTAAACAACACCCAAGACAATACCAGAAACCCTTGACAGTGTTTTCGCTGTCCTGCCCCTCTTCCTGCCAAATACTGTGGCAGAGCCTGAAAAAGCTTCTCAAGGCTTGGCTGGCAAAAATCCCAAAGATTAGTAAAACAGAACCATGAAATGACAAAACATTATGGGTTGGAAGGGATCTTTAAAACCACTGAGTGCCATCCCCTACCAAGGGCAAGGGCACCTTCCAGTGTCCCAGGAGCTCCAAGCCCCATCCAACCTGGCCTTGGACACTCCCAGGGATCCAAAGGCAGCCACAGCTTCTCTGGGAAATCCATTCCAGCCCCTCACCAGTTTCACAGCCAAGAATTTCTTCCTAAAATCAAATCTAAACCTGAGCAGCTGAGCTCCTATCTACCCCCTCCCACCCCTTTCTCAGACAGGTCAGGATCACAAACTGCCTTGGAATCACACAACCAGGAACAATTTGGGTGAAAGAGACCTTAAAGCATATCCCATTCTACCCCTGCCATGGGCAGGGACACCTTCCACTAGACCACGTTGCTCAAGGCCTTATCCACCTTGGCTCTGGACCCTTCCAAGGATGAGGCACCATAGCACATCCCCTGTGGCGGCCCGGGAAAGCACCGGGAGGACTCCGCGCTCAGTGCTGCCCGCCGGTTGTGAGGCGGCGCGTTCCCCAGACGCTGGCAGCCCCGAATCCCGGCTCTCAGGCCGGGGGGTCCCAGGCTCCGCTAGCCCCGAGCCCGCTCGGGCCTGTCCCGGGCCTNAAAAAAGGGGGGAAAAAGGTGGAAAAAAGGGGGAAAAAAGGGGGAAAAAAGGGGGAAAAAAGGGGGAAAAAAGGGGGAAAAAAGGGGGAAAAAAGGAAAAAAGGGAAAAAAGGGAAAAAAGGGAAAAAAAGGAAAAAAGGGAAAAAGGCCATGCAGCATTCCTTTGGGAAGAGAGAATCCAACTCACCCTTGGCCCTGGCTGTAGTAGCCCTCGTATCCCTCGTAGCTCTGGTCTGCGTATGTGTCATCGTAGCCCTGGCAAGGATGGGGACAAAAATTTGTCACAAAAGGACCAAAAAGGAACCAAATCCAACCCCCAGCAGCTTCCAGGAGCCTGGAAATCTGGCTCTGCCACAGGGAAAGGGCTCAGGCACAACACAGAGGTAGCACAGAGCCCTACTGTGCCCCAGGGCTGGGATGAATCACACTCATATTTAGGAATCATTCCATCTCCAGGGATAAATCCATGTGCCAGGAGAGCTGGAATTGTTATCAGGGAAAGGTTTTTCCCCCAGAAGGTGCTGGGCACTGGACAGGCTCCACAGGGCTCCAGGAAAACGCTCTCAGGGACAGGGTGGGATTTTGGGGTGTCTGTGCAGGGCCAGGATGATCCCAGGGGATCCCTCCCAGCTCAGGATATTCCATAATTCTGTGTCATCCAAACCACACATTTACAACCCCCAACCTCTGAACTTTTCAGTGAAAAAAAAACATTTTTCTGGGAAGAGAAACCAGATTTCCAGGTGTTTCAGTATTTGTGATGATTCCCAAAAAATGCTGTTGTGATCCAAATCAGTTTTCCCATTTTCCCTTTGGAACATAGATGCCAAAATTGCTTGGCAGGAGGGTGGTCCTGGGTTATAGGGCATGAAACACCACCCTGTCCATTCAATATTTAATTTTTAGAGGATTTTTTTGGTGCTTCTTAAAGAATTCTCTTGCAGAAAGAGAGTGTAAAATGTGAATTTCATCCATTTTTGATGTCATTTTTCACACTGTGCCTGGACAGCCACGGGAAACTTCAGTTCTTGGGGGCACTTTTATGAAAACCAATCCTCATTCTGGATTTGGAACACTTTGGGTTCCATTCTTTGAGTGATAAATGGGCGGGGAGGTCACCTAGCACCATCCCAATGGTCCCTGGTGATCCCAGAACCCCACAGTGGTCCCTGGAGATCCCAGCACCATCCCAAAGGTTCCTAGAGATCCCAGCACCATCCCAGAAGTTGGTGGGATCCCAACACCATTTCCATCAGTTTCTGGTTATCCCAGCATCATCCCAACTGTTCCTGCTGATCCCACTGATCCCCGGTGATCCCAGCACCATCCCACTGATCCCATTCATCTCTGGTGATCCCAACACCATCCCAGCGATCCCTGGTGATTCCACGGATCCCTGGTGACCCCAACACCATCCCACTGATCCCTGGTGATCCAAACACCATCCGACCGATCCCACGGATCCCTGGTGATCCCAGCACCATCCCAGAGATCCCTGGTGATCCCGGCACCATCCCACTGGTCCCACTCATCTCTGGTGATCCCACCATTATCCCATTGATCTCACTGATCCCTGCTAATCCCAGCACCATCCCACGGATCCCTGGTGATCCCAGCACCATCCCAGTGATCCCTGGTGATCCCAGCACCATCCCACTGATTCCTGGTGATCCAAACACCATCCCAGTGATCCCTGGTGACCCCACTGCTCCCCGGTGCTCCCCATCCCACCGTGACCCTCGCTGCACCCCGTCGAGCAGCCAGCACCCGTTAACCCCGTGCATCCCGAACCGTTCCTTACGTATTCCTCGTAGGTCTCTGGCACGGGGGGAGGGGGCAGGGGTATCCTCTGGATTCCAGCTGCCCGTGCCCGGGGGGCAGGAGTGCCGCGCACTGCCGGGGGAGGGGGCACCCCCCGGGCCAGCGTGGCCCCCCGGGCCATGGCCCCGCGCACGGGGGCTCCTCGCACCAGGGCACCCCGAGGAGGGGGAGGAGGAGGAGGAGGAGGGGGAGGACCAACCCCACGGCCCCTGGAAAAGAGAGAGGAAGGTTTTGGTCAGGAGCCCGAGGATGGGGATTTTCAGCAATGACGCGAAGCTGCCAAAAAACGGAGCCAGGAATTGTGGATCAGCAGGAAAATTCATGCTGTTGTGCTGTGAGAGGTACAAAACTCTCCTTTGGGGTGAGAATTCTACGGTTTTAGGTGTAGAAAGACAAGAAATCACAGCTGAGGGAAGCAAGAGGCAGGAAGGGAACCTTTGGAATGTCTTCCCAAGGAAACAGGGAATGAATTCCTTGTTTTGCTTTTCCTGTTGAACTTTATCCCAACACATTCATTCCCTCACTTTCACCCTTCCCATTCTCTCTCCATCCCATAAGTGGGGAGGGATTCAATGGGGCGTGGCTGCCCTTTGGGGTTAAATCACAAAATTTTGGCTCAGCCCAGCCTAAGTTGGGAGTTTTGCATAATTTAGATTAGCTGAGCTTTGCCTACTGAGCCCAACTGGCTCCACACAGCCAAGGAGAGGCCTCCTGACGACATTTACATCCAAATTTTGGGCAGATCTGCAGCCCAGAGTCAGGATTTGTGAGGATAAAGGAAGCTGTAGACAAAGAAATAAATCTGATACCGAACTCTTGGCAGGGAATTTCACTTTAAAGGACCCTCCCACCCACCTGGGATCACTCCAGATCCCTCAGGATCACTGAGGACATGGGCAGAGACTCTCCAAGCAGAAGGAAAAGCACCACCCATGGATCAGGGAGCGAGGCAAGCACTGAAGGAACACTTTTGTTACCAATTTATCCCCAGGTTTTGACAGAAGCCCCCCCAGAGCTCTGCAGGGATGGGCATTTCAGCTGAAAACGCTGAGGGGGCTACAGCACATCCATCACCAGCTGGGACCACTTCTGAAAGGTTCCTTTATCAAACTATTGATTAAACCCATCCCAAATCATCCCCGGTCTTGGATTACATCCCAAACATTGTGCTCCGAGCCAGCTGGCAAACCTTGGCTGCATCCCAAGGTCAGGCCCAGCCGCTGATGTGCAAGAAGAAACAGCTTAACCTCCCCTGACAGCACAACTGTGAGTGAAATCCAGCATTCCCAGGGCTGGGATTTTGGGAATACCTCGGAACAGGTGGAGGGGGAGGTGGGGCTGCCCCCCGGCCCCGCCCGGGGACGCCTCGGCCGCGGTTGGGCTCCGGGACCCCGTTGAGATAGGAGAGCTCCAGGAACTGCTCCTGGCAGATGTCATCCATCATATCCTGGAAAAAGGATGTAAATAAAGGATAATGTAAGGATAAAAATAAAGATAAATAAGGATATAAAGAGTCAGCTCCAGAGAACAGCTCCGGGATATCACAGGCTGCTGTGCTGGGATAAAAATAACTGCATGGACCTCAGTTCAAACCTGGTTTTACTGGGATTTGCTGCAGCTTTCTCCAAGATTCCAGCACCTGTATCTCTAGGTCCTGATGTTCCCAGCATCCCAGGGATGTCAGGAGGATTTATGGGGAAAAGCCCAGGCAGGTCTCAGCCTACAGCTCCTGCCTGAAGGGGCAATGAGCCTACACAAGGTAACCCTGCAGTGTTCCCATTCCCAAAGGAAAGGGTTGGGATGCAGAGCAAACACCCCTTCCCAAATCCAAGCTGGCTTTTCAAATCTTTAGGGATGCAGTGTGTTCCTGACAGATCCTTAAAGATCCCTTCCTTGGGGACTAAAGGGGCACAGGAGATCACCCAGCACCATCCCAGTGCTCCCTGGTGATCCCAGAATCATCCCAGCATTATCCCAGTGCTCCCTGATGATCCCAGAATCATCCCAGCACCATCCCAGTGCTCCCTGGTGATCCCAGAATCATCCCAGCATCATCCCAGTGCTCCCTGGTGATCCCAGAATCATCCCAGCATCATCCCAGTGCTCCCTGATGATCCCAGAATCATCCCAGCATCATCCCAGTGCTCCCTGGTGATCCCAGAATCATCCCAGCATCATCCCAGTGCTCCCTGCTGATCCCAGAATCATCCCAGCATTATCCCAGTGCTCCCTACTGATCCCAGCCCCACCCCAGTGCTTCCTGAAATTCCCAGTGACCATCTCCCACCAGATGTGTGAACCCTGAAATTCCCAGTGACCATCTCCCACCAGATGTGTGAACTTTCCCAATTTTTCCTCCCAATTCAACACACAAGTTTAATTTTAAAAACACACTTCAAGTCCTGGCACCCTTAGAGGCAAAATTCCAGCACAATCCTGTCACACACCGGCACAAAATGCCAGGAATTTGGCTATGAAAGCACCAAAAAGCTTCACCAGGAAAACACATCCCCAAGCAGGTGACAAGTGACACCTGCAGAAAAACCTGCTCTGCAAAACCAAATTTTTTCTGCATTTAAAACTATAAAAATATTGATTTAACTCAGAAAAAATAGACACAATATTGAACTACTAAGCTGCCTGGGCAGTCACCCTCCTCATCTTCATACCCTTCAACACCTCTGTATTTAATTCCTGACCTGACCATGAGGTTTTCCAGCCATTCCCACTAAAATTGGCAGGTGAAGCTAGACAAGATACCCACAGCTTGAATTGGGAGAGAAGAGAAATCCCCACCCCAAATGTTTTGTCTGGGAATTTTTTTGTCATTTATAATTAAAATTATAATAAAATTATAATTATTTATTATAATATTAGAATTAATATAATATATATTATAAGTATAAAATATTATAAGTATAATATAAGTATAATATTATAAGTATAATATAATATAAGTATAATATAAGTATAAGTATAAGTATAATATAAGTATAATATAAGTATAATATAATATAAGTATAATATAAGTATAATATAATATAATATAATGTAAGTATAATATAATGTAAGTATAATATAATGTAAGTATAATATAATGTAAGTATAATATAATATAATATAATATAAGTATAATATAATATAAGTATAATATAATGTAAGTATAATATAAGTATAATATAAGTATAATATAAGTATAATATAATATAATATAATATAATATAATATAATATAATATAAGTAAAAAAACCCCAAAAACACCTTCCTGAAGGATTTTACAAAGCTGCCACACACATTTAACCATTTCATCTCCTTTCATCTCTGCAGGAGGAGAAAATCCAACCCATCCCAAGCCAGTTCCACCCCTCAGGAATAAAAAAAAGGAGCAGGACACATACTGGGACCAGGAATTTCTTGACCTCCTCCATGGCGTGGGCCATGAGGGCGTAGGCCTCGCAGGGGGGCCCGAAAACCTCGATGAAAACGTGTAAATCCATGTTGAGATGGGCGTATTTGGGATCCCCCCCTTTACGAAGCTCTTCCTCCTGGGGAAAAAAAGAAATAAATATTTTTTTGCTTCTTAAAATCTGTTTAAGAGGCAAAAAAAAATCATAATTTTTTGCCTCTTTTCTAAGCTTTAACACGGTGTGTAAGGATGTTGTTAAAAGGAATAAAACCTTTTTATTGCTGCCTCTCTGTGTGGCTTTTTTTTTATTTTTTAAGGAAAAAACTTCCACTTTTTTATTGCTGCCTCTTCAGCTGGTTTATTTTTTGCTAAATCCACAGTTTTTAATTGGTGGCAGCAAAATTTTTACCTCAGAATATTTAAATATTCTCTTTACGCCACTTTGTGGAGCCCGATGCCTCCAACAACTCCTCCACCTCTGCTTTAAGATATCTTTAAGATATTTCTGTTTTTCAGGCTGTTTTGCAGTTATTTCACAAGTTAAAAACAACCTGAAAGTGTTTTTAAAAAACCCTTTTGTGCCACTCACGTAAAATCAGAATTAAGTTACAGCTCTGCTGGTTCTTAGCTCAGCTTCAAAATAAACAGGAAGAAATAAAAATCATCTTTTCCCTATTCTTTTCATATTTTTTTTTTCTGTTAAAAAAACCCTCCTGGTACTTTGTGATTCACCAAAGATTATCAACATCTCCACTGAACCAGAAGAATTTAAGGATTTCAGAGGGAGCAGCTAGAAAAGGGATTTTTTATCTTTTTTATGGAGGGGAAAAATATCCCTTTAGTGAATGGCTCTTCAGGAGATTAATCCTTATTTTATCAACTTTGTAGCTCGTCTTTCATTGAAGCCTTCTCTAGTTTAATTTTTAATAAAATGCTTGGAGAACCACTAATTCTCACACCACAAAAGGAATTTTGTTTTCCTTTACCTTGGCTTTATCTCTCATTGAACCTTTCCCCAGCACAGAGATTTTAGCACCAGTTTCTTCCTGAAGTCTTTTAATGGTGTTGCCTTGGGGTCCCAAAATCTTCCCAACAAAGTTGAACTGGAATTTAAGAAAAAACAACAACAAAAAAATCAGCTCCAGAGCTCAAAAAGTCAACAAAAAAAAATTTCTGAATGTTTTGTTGGTTGACAAAGGAAGAAAAGAAAAATTTCTCCATTTCTCATCACCTCACCAAAAAAAAATGCACAGGAAAATTTAACTTCCAAAAGGAAAATTTAAGTTTCTAACCTTTCTTTTCATGAAAATAAAAGTGCTTCAACAGAAAAATTAAGCTAAATTAAGTGTTTCAATTCCAACATCTACTCTGCAGCAGCTTTCCAGCAAATCTTTAAGGAGTTAAATGTAAAAACACAAAGCTCCACACGTGGAATTGTCTGTTCCAGCAATCCAAAATCCCACCTATGCACCACCATTTATCACAAGATATTCTAGAAATTCAATATATTAGAAATTAAATCCCTGCAGGCCTGCAAAGAAAGAAAGAAAGAAAAAAAAAAAATAATAATCCCTCCTCACTTTTCAAAAGAAATCTCTTGAATTTTGCTTTAAAAAGAAGATTTAACTCCTGCTGACACTTTGCCAGGCACAAAATCCCACAGAAAAGAAGCAAATCCCAGAGATTCGGTCACCCTTTTCTGGCCCTCACCTTGGGGTACTGTTTGACAGGGATCAGAACTCGTTCTTTCAGTTTCATATTCTTGTGGGAAAATAAATCCAGGTAGTTCTCTTCCTCATCCTTCTTTGTTGTCTCACCCTTCTGAATTTTTTCAATTTCTAAACAAGATAAAAATAGGGCTGCTTTATATTTTCCTTAAACAAGCATCAGATCAGAGATGGAATCATGACAAGGACAGAACCCTACAAATACCAGAAGGAAACTCCTGTGCTTTCCTCTGCCAGCCCCTAAATCTGCAAAGAAACCAGCTCAAACTACATTAAAATCCAATATTTTTGCTAAATTGTGACAGAAATCAGCAAGCTTTTATCATCCAACTCGAATTCATTTCAAATCTGCCCTTTAATTAGTGGTGTCAACACCTCCAGGCACGGTGAGTTTTGGTTACGTTGAAAATATTCCTAATAAACATGGGTTAGGAAATTCTCCCAGCTTCACCTCATGAAATAAATTCAGATTTCTCACACAAATAATTCCTAAGTGGGAATTTTAAACCCTCAGGTGTGCAGCCATAAAAGAGAGTCTCAGAAATTCTTAATTCAGCAACGCAACTACAAATTATTTGTCTCTCAAAATTGAGATTTTTTTTTTTGCTTTTTAAATTATTTGTGTCTCAAAATTATGATTTTTTATTTTTCTTTTTTAATTGCCTGTGGTGAATTAAAAATCAATTTTAAAACCCCATTGAGGCAGCCTGAGGGGAGCTGGGACAGTCCCAATAACCTGCCGGAATGAGGTCGTTAAGGGAAGTTAATTAGGGACTGGTACACAAACACCTCCTGGAAATTCAGCTTTCACTGAGAGATGACCCACATGGAGATGGAAAATCCTCTTCCAGGCATTTCTGAGTTATAATTTAATTTTCCTGGTGCGGGAATAACCCCCATCATTTTCCAGAAGAACACAGCCCACAGCTGCCTGGATTTCCCTTTCCAGAAGTGATAAAACACAATTTTTATTTCAAGGCAAACAGCTCTGTGACAAATTCCCCCAAATGTGGAGTCAATCCATTGTTAACAATCCCAAATTACTGCTGATCCTTTGGTCCAACAGAAAAAAAACCCCAAACTGATCATTAATATCCATCCCAAATCCTGATTTCAGGCTGTTTATCAGAAGAGGAAAATCAAATTGTGCCATTTCACCAGCAAACCCAAGGCTTGTAAATTTAATTTCTGAGCCTCTTCCAAGGGAAAGAGACACTTCCCAAAATTACCCACAGCACTGGGATTGAGCTGGGAGAGCAAAGAGCAGCCTGCTTAGTCATGAGCAGGATTTCCAGCACACTGCAGCTGCAATATTTTGTATTTCCTGGGATTTTTGGCCAAGTCAAACCATCTGCTTGAGTCTGAAATGCTCCTGTTCACAGCCCCACAAGCCTGCCAGATGGATTTGATGATCCTGGAAGTCTTTTCCAACCTTAAAGATGTTGGATATTTGGGGTATTATCCATTAGGGAATATTTCTGGATCATCCAAGCAGGAATAAGGGGTCACCACCACCCTTTTGAACAACCCCTGGGCTGAGAAGCATCTCAGAAAAAATCATCAAATAATCTCTATTTTAATTATATTTCTTTTGTTATAGGCCCAGTGATACAAACTTGGTTTTAGTGGGCCCCCTTGTCAGCTGGGCTCAAACCATAACAGAATTGTGTTAAAACACCTGAATTTTGTATTTTTGCTCCCAGCAGCCCCTTGTCTCCCCTCACAAAATTGTTACCATGACTCCTTACTTTTCAAAATTGAAAGAAATCTCTTGAATTTTGCTGTAAAAAGAAATTATTTTTCTGAAGACACAAAGTAAAAGTAAGAAACCTTCAAGTTCATACACTGCCAAATTTATGAAATAAGACAAAAAGCTGTCTTGGTTCATTTTATGGAGTTGTTTTTTTTTTTAATTTTAGCTCCAAGAACACGGCAGAGAATCAAGATTTGGAAATTAAAGGTTGCACTGTTTGCCTGTTTAAAGATAACTTAAAACCCTTAAATAATTTGTTTTTCTGAAAGTGCATCCTGCAGATAAACAAGAAGTGGTTTTTTTACACACACATCCAGAATAAAAAAACCCTCAAACTTCCTTGATAAAATTAAACTAAACATGAATTAATTACTGTTAAATTAAAAAATTAAAATGAAACTAAACAGAGTAATTTTCTGCCTCCTGAAAACACCACAGGACTGGGTGACAACCTCTGCAAATCCCAATTCACACCCAGCAAAATCCATTTTTGCCTCCTGCCAAAGCTGCAGAAATAGCTGGGAACTGGGCTGGGCCACAAGGAATTAAAAAAATTGATCAAAACCAAACCAAAAGAGAAAAGCAGCAGCAGCTCCATGCCTTGAAATGGAATGTAAAACACAAGAGAGGAGAAGGAGCAGCAGAGGAATTCCAAGCTCTTCCAAGCCTTGGGAATTCAGGGGACCTCCAGATCCAAGGGGGAGCCTGGAAATAGGTGAGGAAGGATAAAATTGTGGCACTGGTGAGCTGGATGTGACACCAGGAGCAGCTGTTGGAAAACCTGGATACCTGAAGGGATCAAGGCCCATCACAGAGGTTTTTTGGGAGAAGGTTGCCACGGGGAGTGTCAGCAGGCTGGCAGCATGAGTGGCTTTTCCAGAGCTTTCCAGGGCAGGGATGGGCTCAGCAGGACTCCTATGGGGCAGGAAAAGGGGGCTGGGAACGCTGCTGTTCCTCCTTCCTGCTCCTGAGCTAAGCCCCAGCTCTTCCTTAATAATTAAAATCCATGGGAAGCGCTGGCCTGCAGCTCAGCTGTGCTCTGGAAGCACATTTGTGAGACTGAAAATATTACCAGCAAAGTAAAATAATACTGACCCCTAAAAAAAACCTCCAAACCTGAAAGAATTTGGGGGTGGCACCTCTGAGGAAAGCAGAGCCTCCTCCATCTATCCCTGCTTCCCAGCTGGTTTGATTTCTCAGGAAGGGGAAGCAGTTCCTGGCTAGATTCCAAGAATTTGGCAATCTTAACCCCACTATTTCCCTCCCCAGAATAAACCCCGCACCCTGGGATTCCTGGGCAGGCAGCTCTGCTTTTGGGGCTTTGCTGGGAAGGGAGAGCACTGCCAGGAGAAGGAGCACAGGGAGGGAAAGGTGAGATTTGGGATGTGGCACAGAAACTCCTGGGATGGCATTGGGAATGGGAATGGCCACAGCAGTGCCAGCAATTGAGAACATTGCCACGGTTGAGCAAAATACAAATTGAAATGTGCAACAGTGAAATGGTTTCAAATTAATCCAGTCTGAGACAATTTCAGGTGACAGTTTGGGGGCAGGATATCCACTTGGAAAGACAGGAATTGAAGCCATCTCCTTGCCAGGAGAGCCTGGACTCCACGTGGAAGGAGCTTCAGGGTGACATTTCTCATCTCCAGTGACCTCAGCCCTCTCTAATCCCTTCTTTGGCTCCCAGGAGCCACCACCCATCTGTGGGACATTCCCATCCAGTCCTTTCCCATTCCCAGGAATGAATCCCAGCCTGAATCCAGCAGGGAATTCCACGTGGGAGTGCCCCAGGACCTCCAGCTGCTCCTGCCTTTGCCAGGTGTTGCTCCAACTCCAACAGCTCCTTTCTGCTCTCATTCCCACCCCACACGGAATGACACAGCTCACACAACCTTGGGAAGCTCAGCTCTTTTCCCTTGGAGTTTCTCCATGAAATAAAAACAGCTAAAATTCCCAGAAAACCCCAAATCCCACACCTGGCTAACACTCAAGTGGGATATCTCCCGTTTTCCCAAAGGAGGGAAGCAGAGAGCCATGCCCTTCACACCAGCAGCAGCTCCCCCTGCTCTTTCCACAGCTTAAATCCAAAGCAAAAAAGGGATTTTCTTGCTCCTGTGGAAAAGGAAGGTCACACAGACCCTAAATCCCAGGAGGGAAACATGGATTATATTTGAAAATGCAAGAAATCACAGTTTTCAGTTTCTCCCTAGGGTAACAGAACCCTCAATGTAGCCACTTCCATACAAGAATTAGTAAAATTAGTGGAATTAGAAAAAATCCCATCACTGTCAGGCCCTTGCTCCCAAAAAAAAAGCCAATTCCTTCTAAAAACACAGAACCAGCACAGTATTTTAGACAACTTTAAGACATTGTTTTAAAATAAATGAATGCAGAATTCCTGCAGGGCTCCCTCCCTGAGGCAGGCAGGCTGAGCAACTTCCACTCTGGGAAGAAAAAAAAAGGCTGGAATAGGAATTCTGCTGACACTCAAGATCATTTCTATGTCTGGAAGTCATTTTGCTGGCTCTGTGCATCACAGCTTTGGCCCAGACTGAAATTCCAAGGAATTCAGAGCACTTTGGGGGATCATCCAGGCAAAAAAATTGACCTAAATCCACCATTTTACCTCAAATTTTTCCTCATCGTTTTCCTGCTCAGCTCACCTTGAACTGGGACTGTGAATACTCCCAAAATAAAGTGATTTTCAATATATCCACAGCTGGAGCTGCTCCAATTTTAAATCTCCCCAAGCTGCAATGAGCAATTTTTAAATTAATAAAAATCCCCCTCCTAAATCCTCGTTACACCCCTCAAGTGAAGGAGGCTTTGCAGGACGCTGCTCTTTGTGTGGGAATTTGCAAACTCCTTGGATTTCCTTTGGCTGGGAGGCACCACAGCCAAGCTGGCTGAAGAATTTTATTAATCAAAACCATTAAACTGACGGAAAATCGGATTATAAAACTCCTTTATTTAGATCAAGATGCTGGTGGGTGATGCCGTGACGATCTCTCCTGGTTGTTTGCACAATAGGAGAGAGACAGCAATTCCCAAGAATTATTCCCCGCATAAAATAAGCTTGCAAAACCTCAAGAGCCGCACCAAAACTCTGCATTTATAAGCCTCGACAAAATAAATTATTTTAAAAAGCGGGATACCAAGCACAGGGGAGACTAAACCTAAACAGATCCTTGCTTTGGGAACCTCCCAGCTCCCCCACCGTGCACAGAAAGCAGAAAGTGGTTGGGAATATTTGAACTGATTGCCGTTTTTAAGCTGACTCCGGAGTGTGGGAGCAGCTGAATGGGCTGGATGGAGGCCCCGAAGGCGGTGCAGCAGCTGCAGCGGGGAGATCCAGGGAAATCCGAGCTGCCAGGCGATTGGACAGCGGCGGTGAGGAAGGAGAAGGCTCGGCTGGGCACAGAACAAAGACTGCCATTTCCAGTCCTTCCTCGGGCTCGGCACGGATTTCCAACGGGGGAAAAAAAAAAATCCCAGAAATGGCTCGCTGGGATTTAAGCACCGCTACGTGGGAACCGCCCCGGGTTTTTAAGGTTCCTTTTTAGCTCCTCTGTCCCCAGGGATGGAAGAGCTGCCCTGATTTCGGCTGGGATAGAGCTCCTTTTCTTCTTAACAGCTGTTTTTAGGGAATTTTACTGGAATCACATTACCAACACCCTGATGTTTTGCCTGTTCCCGAGCAGCGTTTGCCCCAAGACTTTTCAGTAAAGGAAAGGAGCTGTCCTCAAGCCAGCGTGGCCAGGACAGGTCACCTGAATGGTCCAAAGGGATATTCCATCCCTGGACTGTCATTCCCATCCCAGAAACTGCAAGGAGCTCGGGGATAGGGTGGGCACCGCTCCGTGGGTGGTGAAGAACTGGGGATCGCTTGCTTCTACTCCTTCTCAACATCACAATTATCATTATTATCAGCGTATTTACTATTACCATTACGTTTTATTTCAATTATTAAACGGTTATCTCAACCCGCAAGAGTCTTGAGTCTCTTGATTCTCCCGTCTGGCTAAGGCCACACCACAAGGACTAACGCAATGTAATATAACCACCAATAAAACACACACTAAACTTGCGGCTCTGCGGATTAAGCTCCGATTACACAGGGAAATAGCTCATTTTAACCCCCTATGGCACCGGAGCCAGAACAGCCACCGGGACCCGCTGCCCTCTCCCTTCTCCCGGCGCTGCCCCGGTACCTGCGGTGAGAAGCTGCATGGCGTGTGTGAAGGACGGGTCCAGGCTGTCCTTCTCGGCCATCAGCTCGGGCAGGTACTTGTTCTCGGGCTCCATCTTGCCGCCAACCATCGGGCCCGAGCCACCGGAG